CCAGCTGGGGCAAGGACAGATTCATCAATTTATTCGGCTTGAGTGCCCCAGCCGCTCCATGAACCGACTCAATATTCATAAGCTCGTGTCATTCGGTGTTTAATGTTCATGAACCAGCTGAGGCAAGGGCAGATTCATTAATCTATTCGGCTTGAGTGCCCCAGCCGCTTCACGAATCGATTCATCAGTACAATATTCGGCACCTCATGAATTCATTTCAAGTAGCTCAGATCCATAAATTTAATAAGTTTTTAAGTTCACCGTCTCACAGGGGGCAGATTCATCGATATATTCGGCTTGAGTGCCCCAGCCGCCTCATGAAGCGACTCAATATTCATAAGCTCATGTTATTCGGCGTTTAATGTTCATGAACCAGCTGGGGCAAGGGCAGATTCATCAATCTATTCGGCTTGAGTGCCCCAGCCGCCCCCATAAAGCGACTCAATATTCATAAGCTCGTGTTATTCAGCGTTTAATGTTCATGAACTAGCTGGGGCAAGGGCAGATTCATCAATCTATTCGGCTTGAGTGCCCCAGCCGTCCCATGAAGTGACTCAATATTCATAAGCTCGTGTTATTCGGCGTTCAATGTTCATGAACCAGCTGGGGCAAGGGCAGACTCATCAAAATATTCGGCTTGAGTGCCCCAGCCGCCCCATGAAGCGATTTACTAATAAAATGCCCATGAACTAATCCTATTCGGCGCCATAGTAATGAAATGGAAAGGAAATTTTCATTAATAAATTGAGCGCAGAAGTAACTATTTATACACGAAAATTACCTTATACTAATAGAAATCCATTAAACAAAAACATACATTGAAATTGAAAATAATTAATAAAACTAGAGTGTCTACCAGATCAATCCTCGGGATCAAACTTAAGTGGCTCAACGTCCACTTGCTCGTATGGAATTGGCAAGGCCAATGTAACTCCACCGGCAGCAAGAGCCTTGAGCCACCCATGTTTGAATCCTCGATTCTCGAATTTGGGAACTTCTTCTACATAATCTTTAAAAGCGGCGCTCTTTCCAGCCTCGAATGCTGCAGAAGCCTCAGAGTCGACTCTTTCCTTGGCCTTCTTCAACTCTTCTAACTCGGCCTCCACCTTGGCAAGTGCCTCCTTGACTAACTTGAGCGATTCTTCGCTCGCATTCGCTCTACCCTCGGCTTTGGATCTGAGTTGGTCAGCAGTCCAAGCCCTCTCATTCTCAGCTTCAGCTCGAGCACTTTCCATTGCAGCCCTCATCGCCTCGAACTCGGCCCTACTCCTCTCACCTTCAGCTTCAGACTTCAAGCTGCCAATTCTTTCAATGGCATCGTGATGCTGGCGGCCTAGTTCGTCTATCCTTCCAACCGTCTGCAAAACAAGGATTTAGGATCAGCACATACCAAGAAATATCCTATGAAAACCAAACCAAACAAGAAAAAGAGTCACATACCAGAAAGGCCGACTGGGCAGCTAACGCTACAGCTACCAAATCCGGCTCTCCTCAAAAAGTGGCCTTGTCAGCCGGCAACATAACTGAGGCGGCCAAGCTCAACGCTACGGCTGGATCCTTCATGGCGGATGCATCAGAGGAGATCGGCGTGTTTTTGATCTTTGGCTGAACAACGAAAGGAACCACGTCCGGTTCCTCTAATCGAGGCCGTTTGCCAACAGGGTTATCCTCGGAGCCGATTTCTCCCTCGACGGTACGTTTTTCACCCCGCCCTTCTGGAATCAGCCGTTCTTCTGTAAACTGCTATTCGACTTCCTTCTCCGTCTCGGCCACAATAACTTGAGCCGTCTCTCCTCCAATGACGGTTTGCGAAGACTCAATCAGGACAGGTTCAGAACGGGCAACCTCGGCTTTCTTTCGTGCTGCCATTCGTTCGACATTTCTCTTTTGCGCCATCTGCGTAAGATTTTCCCCAGCCATACCTTCAGAAAAAGAGCCGAGTAGGTCTTCCAAATTTATAAAAATATCTCCGAAGGAAAATTCTGCCCGACCCGAAGTGGACGGTGAGTTAGGTTGGTTAAGACCGGCTGCCTCGAACGTTGAGTTTAGAGCTTCGTCGACCTCTTCGGCCTCCGCAGCAAACTCTCTCGTTGGTTCGACAACTACCTCGACCACCGGCGCTATGTCTTGCTCCGAATCGGAAGCTTCGAGACCAATTTGCCTAAGGGTCTTGAAGCTGGGGAAGATTAGCGTAGTAAGGTGATGTTCGCCGGTCGGGATCGGAATGTTGTCCGCAGCCGAGAACGTAGTATAAGTAGGCTCGTACAGTAAGAGTATATGAGCGGATCTCCCTTGATTATGTACGTTTGGACGACCAAAATACTTTAGTACAATCCTAATTTCCGCAAGGACTGCGTCGTCAGCCGAGGTCAAAATCCTCTTCAACTTACTGCCTGCAAAAACAAAGAATTAGACTTGAAGAAAAAGCTGAATAAAAGAAAGATCAATAGACACAAGGGGTTACACGGCAACCTGGTTCGCCCCTCTTTCTGGGAATAGGGTCTAGGCGATCTTCGCCCTCGTCGAATTCCCAGTTGCCACGGACATTGACCATTACATCGTCAACTCGTTTGCCACAGCTGGAAAGCATGGTAACCAAGTGATGGCCGGTGTCCTTGGCCCTGAGAAAATAGTGCCCAAGCCGACCGGAGGATTTGGCTAAGGCGTAGCAGTACCGAATCGCCGAAATGCCAAGGTTGATCCTAAGGCGCCGGTTCAACTCTACAATTCCCATTATGACTCAAAAGAAGTTCACATTGGGTTAGGAAGGAATCAGACCCCAATGGCGGAGGACGGCCCTAAGATATGGGTGAAGGGGAAAACGAACCCCGCCCTCCGCAATGGATAGGAGAGGAAAAACGATGGTATTTTGATCTTCCCTCTCCATATCAAGGGTATTATCCGTTACTAGAGATAAATGGATATCGTCAGGGATAGAGAAATGTCGTCGGAACCCAGAAATTCGACCCTCAGAAAGGAGGTCTTTCAAATGTTTAGCCATTCTCGTAAGGACCCAAGGATATTCTAAATTAAAAATAAATGCGGAAAGTAGGATTACAAAGAAAAGAGAAAAAAAACTTACGAAAAGCAAAGGAGACAAGAAGAGACGGAGAGGAGTTGTAGAAAATGCGAGTCAGAGAAGAGATACCAATTGGCAATCCAGGAGGCTTAAATATTCGAAAAAACGTGCATTCGAAGGGACTGAAGTTTCAAATCGTAATAAATGCGAGAGAAGCATGAATAAGGTGGGAAAGCGTTACAATGACCAAAAAACATGTATGTATTCTAACACGCATCGGGGAGAGAATTAACCGTTGAATCTTTGACTTCCCAGACTAGAAGCCAAACACGCCGACTAACTAGTGCTAGTAGGGGTGTTTGGGAGGCAATTGTGGGGGCCAGATATTTGGAAGAATCAGAAGCGTACTCTAGAAGACAGATATTACTCGGCTCTTTTCTGCACGATCAGGAAAGCCGAATAAAACATATGAGCCGAGTAGATACCGAACTATAGAGCTGAGTAAATAAAAGGATAATGAGTGAAAAGTGGACCTGGCCCCGAGGCCCAGGAAACGAGTATAAATAAAGGAACAATAGACTAAGAAAGGTATGTGAGAATTAGAAAGGAAAAAAAATAATTGTGATTTCTCATATTTTATTTGGGTGGCAATGATTAAAAAATATTATATGTGCCTTTTTATTGTATTTGCCTTATATTTAAAGAGGTAACTTGGGTATTGTAAATTTTTTGTAAAGACTAATTTTGGTTTCTTACCAAATTTTATCACTTTTGATGAGAAACATAATTTAAGCAAAAATGTTTTGGAACTTTAAAAAATGAGCCCTAAAGGAGCTCTAGGGGTGGGCCCCACTCCATTGATGTGACGTTTTAGCAATTTTTTTTTTATTTTTATTTTTTTTTTTGAATTTTCACATCATTAGAGTTGGGTTTAGAGTCCTCTGGAGCTCTCTATCACACCCTAACTTAAGTTTAAAGTGAATTTTCTTTTACACCATTACTCATCTCATTAATTATCCAAATAAATGATGAAAAACCTCTTTCTCTTTATTTCTTTTCTTTTCTCACCAAACTCTTTTATCCAATCAGAGTGTTAAGAAAGGCACCTAACAGAATATACACGCAAAATAGTAATAAATCATGAATTGGGCCTTTCTAGAAAACACAAATAACCTTATGGGTTCATCGAGCAGTAAAGACTTGATGAGAAGATTTAATATTTCAAATTTGAGTCTCTTAATCGATTATTAGAGATTTTCCCAATTTTTAATTTCAAAGCCTCTAAAAAATAGTTCTTAGCCTCCAAAAATTGAGTACTCATGTCCAATTGGGCTGAGTTGGGCACAAGATACCTTGGATTATCCAATTATCCAAAAAAAGGGGAAAAAAAAAAAAAACATAAATTAGGATACAATAGATGCACTGTATGAATGTCATTATTTTCTTGGGTAAGAATTATAAATATTTATGATGTGTTATGCCATTTTACGGTAAAAGTTACTAATGGGAAATCTATCATATGTACTAGTAAAGTGAAAGTTATCGACTATTATAATTATGTTATGAACTTTGCAGTCTTAAGAATCAACTTGATGAAAAACAATTGCTTTATTTGATTTGATTTTCAGAAGTTATTTTCTAATTTTTTTCTTAAAATAAAAAATAGTTTTACAAAAATAAATATTTAAAAGATATTTTTGAATTTAAAAATTATTTCTACCTTTCAAAAAGACAAAAACTATATGAAAATGATGAATATTTTTTAATTTTTAATTTTTTCACTAAATTAATTTTTAAATTAAAAAAGTTAAAAACAAATGCTAAAAATCAAACCCAACATAATTTTAATCTTCGTGATCATAATTTTTGTTTTTTGTTAAAAAAATATAAGAGGCCCAAAACTATGACAGACGACGTTGGTGTCCTTTATATATATAGAGTATGTTGATAGTGTCTCTCACTCACCTCACCCACACCTCAATCTTCTTTTCTCTCTCTCTCTCTCTAGTATGGAGTTCCTAGCCAATGGCTCATCAGGATCAGAGAAGCCTCTGAAGCTCCTGATCTATGGCCGGACTGGCTGCATAGGTGGGCTTTTGGGAAAACTTTGTGAGTCCCGAGGCATCGACTTTGCCTACGGCTCTGGACGCCTCGAGAACCAGAGCTCTCTAGAAGCCGACTTAGCAGCTGTCAACCCCACCCACGTCTTCAATGCAGCGGGTGTCACCGGCCGCCCCAATGCGGACTGGTGCGAGTCCCACAAGACCGTGGCCATCCGCTCCAATGTCATCGGCGCCCTCACTCTGGCCAATGTCTGCAGGAACAAAGGCCTGATCTTGATCAACTTCGGCTCCGGCTGTATCTTCGAGTACGACCCGGAGCATCAGCTCGGATCGGGTATCGGGTTCAAGGAGGAGGATGAACCCAATTTCGTCGGATCCTTCTATTCCAAGACCAAGGCTATGGTAAGGAATGAATGAGAATAAATGGGAAAAACAATGAAAAATTAAATATTGTGGGTATTTTTTTAAGCATTTTAGTATTAAACTGAGTTTGAGTAAATTTAGCTAGTTTAAGTTTACTCAAATTAGCTAGTTTTAACTCAGCTCGACTTGTATATATAGGTCTAAAGTTGAGTGCATGTGCATGTGCATGCGATAGGACTTCTGCAATGAGAAGGAAAAAAATAAATAAATAAATTAGGTTAGGAATTTTAAATAGATTATTAATTTTTTTATCAAATTTTTTACATGAGTGTAGGATTCACATACATGTAATTTGTATGAGTTTCACACCCACACGAGAGATTTGGTAAAAAAAAATTGATAATTTAACATTTTCCAAAAAAAAAAAAAAATGACTTGTAAAACTAAAAAAAGTTAACACGTGGTTCAAAATTAAGCACTACGCTCCCTGTCAGTTCATAATTTAAATTGAAAGATGTTATTTGGATTCGTTGGGTTTTTATGGATCGGTAATTTTAAAATATTTTTTTATAAGATTTTTAGTATATATTATTCATACAAAAATATTAGATTGATCTGATATTCATACTCTATTTAATTTATTACATTTATTTTAAAAAAATAAATGATAAATGTGTTTTCAAAAATATATATTTTTAGAGATAAATATGGTAAATTGAATAAGTTACGATTATCGGATTAATTAAATTTTTGTGTATAAGTGATATACAGAAAAAATATGACGAAATAAATTATTTAAATTATTAAAATGAAACCCATGATAAACCTTACAGACCTGAACAATACCCTCCCGTTCAAATTATAAACTAAAGAAGAGGCATGTCTAGATTTAATCATTATACAATTATTAAATCTACACCACACAATCTTTCATCGTTATTCCAAGATAAAAATTCTGAGTATTTAGATTTATCCAATTTTAGTCTACACGGAATGACGACAGTTGGCACTTGTGATCTAACATTTCTTACAGTATTAAACATTAAATGAAGAATAAAAGACTTGTTTTGGTTTTAGTATATTTGATCACATTACGCTAAAGTCTTGCGAAACCATTTACAATCGTGATAAAATAAAAGGAACTTTCTATTTGAGACTGTGGGGTCATCATGAGCTCAATGAACAGCTCATTTTGTAGAATTTTATCAGTCGATTATTTATAATAAAAATTACATTGATTTGATAATTATAATTAAATTAATTTGTCATATTATTTTTTAAAAATTGATATATATATATATATATGAGTTTGAAATATGTCGTTCATTTTTTCAAAAATAAATATCAGTATAATAAATTAAGATTTTAAAGACAAATATTTAAGAACAAAATAACTTTTTGTAGACAACACATTTTAATTTTTGACAAACGTGTCATCATTGTATTTTTAGCTAAAATATTTGACATTTAAACAATGAATTACTATCTTTTCGGGATCATAATTTGTCTAAAAAAATTAATTTTTTTGGACTAAATTATTTTATTCCTGAAAATGTATTTATTAACAATATTTTCAAATTTTGTTACTAAAAATTCTTTTTTTTTAACTTTTTAAGATAACTTTTTAACGATTATACTTGCCACGATAAGAATTAGTCCCAAATGTTTTTTACAACAAAATTCTCCACTGACTCACCACGATAAGAATTAGTCCCAAATGTTTTTTACAACAAAATTCTCCACCATAAGAGATGGTTTCAAATGTTTTTATAACAAAATTCTTATTTTTTGAAGACAAAAACTTCCGACTCTTATTTATTATAATGTATAATGTGATAATGTGATCATAAACAAATCACATGGTCATAATGATACTCATGGGGGACCTCATAGACTCTACAGTCATAGGCTCAGCTGAACCATCTCATTTATGTTGGTGTACTGAAGACAAAATACCCCTAAAAGAAGACAACAATTTAATCTATTACTTCATGATCTTCCAATCTAATTCATTTCCGCCAAACTTAAGTTGTGTTTAGAGTGTTTGGATGCTTATTGATGGATTGTGGCTGTCTTTGGGCTTATTATGGATCTTATATTAATAATTTTAAAATATTTTTTTGCAAGATTTTTAGTGTGTGTTATTCATACAAAAAAATTAAATTGATCTGACATTCATACTTCATTCAATTTATTATATTATTTTTTTAAAAATAAAAGATAAATGTGTTTTTAAAAATATATATTTTTAGAAATAAATGTAATAAATTGAATACGCTATGATTATTAGATCAATTAAATTAAATTTTTGTGTATAGATGATATACAGAAAAAAATTTGACAAAATAAATGGTTTAAATTATCAAAATAAATCCCATAATAAACTTTATAGATGTGAACAATACCTCCGGTCCAAATTATAAACTAAAGAAGAGCCATGTTCAGATTTGACCATTTTACAATAATTAAATCTACACCACACAATCTTTCATTGTATTCCAAGATAAAAGTTCTGAGTATTTATCCTATTTTAGTCTACACTTATGACGGTAGTTGGCACTTATGACGCTTAACGGAGTAATCTAACATCTCTTATTAAACATTAAATAAAGAATAAAAGACTTGTTTTAGTTTTAGTATATTTGATTACATTACGCTAAAGTCTTGCGAAACCATTTAAAATTGTGATAAAATAAAAGGAACTTTCTATTTGAGACTGTGGGGTCATCATGAGCTCAATGATCAGTTCATTTTGTAGAATTTTATCAGTCGATTATTTATAATGAAAAATTAGATTGATTTGATAATTATAATTAAATTAATTTATCATATTATTTTAAAAAAATTGATATAAATATATATATATATATATATATATATGAGTTTGAAATATGTTGTTTATTTTTTCAAAAATAAATATCAGTATAATAAATTAGGATTTTAGAGATAAATATTTAGGAACAAAATAACTTTTTGGAGACAACATATTTTAATTATTGATAAATGTGTCATCATTGTATTTTTAGCTAAAAATTTGACATTTAAACAATGAATTACTATCTTTTGGGGATCATAATTTGTCTAAAAAAATTAATTTTTTGGGACTAAATTATTCTATTCCTAAAAATGTATTTATTAACAATATTTTCAAATTTTGTTGCTAAAAATTCTTTTTTTTGACTTTTTGGGTTAATTTTTTAACGATTATACTCGTCACGATAAGAATTAGTCCCAAATATTTTTTACAACAAAATTCTCCACGATAAGAGTTGGTTTCAAATATTTTTTATAAGAAAATTCTTATGTTTTTTGAAGACAAAAACTTCAACTCTTATTTATTGTAATGTATAATGTGATAATGTGATCATAAACAAATCACATTGTCATAATGATACTCATGGTGGACCTTGTAGACTGTGCTGTCATAGGCTCAGCTGAACCATCTCATTTATGTTGGTGGACTGAAGACAAAATACTCCTAAAAGAAAACAATTTAATCTATAACTTCATGGCCTTACAATCTAATTCATTTCCTCCAAACTTAAGTTGTGTTTACTGTGTTTGGATGCTTATTGATGGATTGTGGCTGTCTTTGACATTTGTGTTAGTTTTGTGGGTGATGGTGTCCTTTTGGTTACATTTGCCGATTAAAAAAAAAAAATGGCGTCTTTTTAGTTAAATGTTAGAATTATTTTTTACTTAAAAATGTGTGTTGCCCTTGTTTTTAGTGTTTTTTACTTGTCTTCATGTGGGTGGGTTGTTTCTGTTGTCTTGCTGATTTGGATTGGGTTGACTTGGGTTTTGACTTTGTTTTGCTTGTTGAATGTGTCAATCTTTTTAGATTAATCTTGTTTTTATCTTAAATTTTTATTGATGTAATTTTATTAACTGCTAGTAGTTTTTATTCATTAATAAATTATTCAACATATATATATATATATATGTTCCTAAAAGTTATGTATAGAATTTATTACTTAAATAATGTTGTGAATGAATAATTCTTATAATTAACATAGTAAACATAAACTCTTAATTTTAAAATTATAATGGCCACTTGGAAACTTCTAAATGGCCCAACAAAACATTATTTGGACTGTGCATATTCATATTTTTTTTTATATAAAATAATACTCAAAATACTTGTTTTATCCTCACCCCTAATAACCTTCCAACAATGATAGAGACCACTAATTTTAGAACTTTAAAAAGATCACTAATGATATGGTACTCAATAAAAAAAAAAATATAACACCAAAGCCAAAACATCAAATCATTCATGGTGGAGCTTACTGCCACACCATTAGTGGTAGCACTAATTAGTACTCCAACTCATTTTTCATAACCTTTGACACCTACCTTTAACAAATGAGGAGTCAAAAAGAATTTTTGTGACATCCCGATACAATCACATCATTCTATAAACAAATTTTATATAATTTTTCAATCTGTATATAGGTGTTCTTTTCCAAATGTTATCCTTACCTCTTTCATTTGATTTCTAAAGGCTGAACATTTGCTCAAGAGCTACGAGAACGTCTGCATACTCCGAGTCCGAATGCCGATCTTCTCCGACTTATCCCATCCCCGGAATTTCATCAAGAAGATCACTCAGTACGAGAATGTTGTCAACATTCCAAATTCCATGACCAACCTCGACGAACTCCTCCCGATTTCCATCGAGATGGCAAAGAGAAACCTCACTGGTGTATGGAACTTCACGAACCCTGGGGTGATGAGCCACAACGAGGTTCTAGAGATGTATCGAAACTATGTCGACCCGAACTTCACATGGAAGAACTTCACTCTGGAGGATCAAGCAAAGGTGCTTGTTGCACCTAGGAGCAACTGTGAGCTTGATGCCACCAAACTCAAGCTTGAGTTTCCCCAGCTCTTACCCATCAAAGAATCCATCTTCAACTATGTGTTCAAGCCAAAATAAGATCGACCCCGATTTTCTGTCTCAAAAAACCTTTAGCATGTGGGAATCTTCACGCATAAGAATCTTGACATGTTAGACCGTTTTTGAAAGAAAATCCACCTATTATTATTTAAAATATGTCAGTAATTTTAAAAACTAAAGAGTCCTCTTGACGTGCATGTGATTAGTATTATGTTTTTTATATGATGTTTTAGTATTATGTATTTGAATGACGTATTAGTATAATTTTCATTTCTTGGGTTTGTAATATCCCTTGGGGTTTCTATGTTACTTGGAATTTTAATGATTTGTGACTATCATTATAATTTCAAACAATTTGTTTTTGTTTTTTATCTCTTTTTTTTTGGGAGAAAAAAGCGATAATTAAGTACTCATACTATAAAATGAACGATTACGAGTTTCATATCAAGATAAGTAACCCCATACCTCTTAAAAGTTTTGCTTAATTCATACTTTTGTGTAAAGATTTATGTATGGAAAACCAATAAGAAAAGAAATGTAAATAAAATGTTAGTTAATTTTTTAATTACAGTGGCGGCCACTGTGATGGTATGATGGTGCAGCCAATAGTGTTGGTATATGGATAGTAGTGTGGTGATATTTTTTTTAAGATTTTAATTTTAAAAAATATATATTCACCTTTTAAAAGTAAAAATATAATTTTCACTAAAATAAATTTATTATTTTATTAACCATTTAAAATATTTTTTATTGTTCCATATACGAAAAAATATTTTTTATCTAAACAATTTGAGCATTATTCTTCCATCTTTTTCGTAAATGGCTGACGTGGACTAGCCACACCGAAGGCCACGTCAACCGGTGAGGAAAACAAATGAAGACCAACAAATTTCCGGTCTAAAGCAAAAGAGTTATGGTAGGGATTCCAAACAAATTATCAAATTTTCTACTAAATCTCTCACATGAGTGTGGAATTTACACATATTTGATTTGTGTGGATCTCACATCCATGTGAGAGGTTTGGTAAAAAATTTAATAATATTTTAAACAATTTTTTTTTTGTTTTTTATCTCTTTTTTTTTTTTTTGGGAGAAAAAAACGATAATTAAGTACTCATACTATAAAATGAACGATTACGAGTTTCATATCAAAATAAGTAACCCCATACCTCTTAAAAGTTATGCTTAATTCATACTTTTGTGTAAAGATTTATGTATGGAAAACCAATAAGAAAAGAAATGTAAATAAAATGTAAGTTAATTTTTTAATTACAGTGGCGGCCACTGTGATGGTATGATGGTGCAGGCAATAGTGTTGGTATATGGATAGTACTGTGGTGATATTTTTTTAAGATTTTAATTTTAAAAAAAATATATTCACCTTTTAAAAGTAAAAATATAATTTTCACTAAAATAAATTTATTATTTTATTAACCATTTAAAATATTTTTTATTGTTCCATATACGAAAAAATATTTTTTATCTAAACAATTTGAGCATTATTCTTCCATCTTTTTCGTAAATGGCTGACGTGGACTAGCCACACCGAAGGCCACGTCAACCGGTGAGGAAAACAAATGAAGACCAACAAATTTCCGGTCTAAAGCAAAAGAGTTATGGTAGGGATTCCAAACAAATTATCAAATTTTCTACTAAATCTCTCACATGAGTGTGGAATTTACACATATTTGATTTGTGTGGATCTCACATCCATGTGAGAGGTTTGGTAAAAAATTTAATAATTTATTTAGGATCCATAGCATTTTCCAGAGCGAAAATATTAAATTTTGGATAACATGACAGAATTGGCATTTACTCCACTATTTGCCAAATATAACTATTAGAACACATTTCAAGAATTATGTACGTTGAAATTGTCACATACAACTTCGCTTTGTTTGATTTTGTTTTCAAAAAATCAAAAAATAATTTAATGAAAATTTAAAAAATAAAAAAATCATTATTATTTTTAGGGAAAATCGGTCTAAGGTCCCTATCCACCTTTTAGTAATGGATTAGGTCCACAATATATTCTTTTGTAGTCTAAGGTCCCTCACCCCCATACCCAACAAATTAGACACAGGTGATAGAATTAAGCTTCCGGATAATCTTCACAAGGTATGAAAAGCATTCATATACTGGTTTAACTTCTAATCTCCGTGTTCATTTGCGTTAATTCCAATTTCATTTGTGGTGTGACAGCTCATGCTTGTTGCGAAGAGTAACTACATGAGAAAATTAATACTAGAATCGAAAGAACCTGATTTGGCAAGAATCGATCTCTCGGACATTCCTGGAGGCCCCGAGATCTTCGAGAAAGCGGCCAAGTTCTGCTACGGCGTCAACTTCGAGATCACAGTTCACAACGTCGCAGCTCTTTGTTGCGCCGCTGAGTATCTGCAAATGGCAGATAAATACTCCAACGGCAACCTCGCCGGCCGAACCGAAGAATTTCTCTCCCAAGTCGCCCTCAGCAGCCTCTCTGGCGCTGTCGTTGTCTTGAAGTCGTGCGAAGATCTTCTTCCAATGGCCGAAGAACTCAACATCGTCAAGAGATGCGTCGATGTCGCAACCAGTAAGGTACTTACTCATCTTCGTAACCTTCATTTTTCACATATTATTTACCGTTAAAAAGGAAAACAAAACTTTCGGCGTGGTGTTGATGTGCTTTGAATTACGCCGGCATACCAAGATTTTTGACTCTAGGCTAAGTTGTAAAATTTTTGACTTCGTGAATTTTGACCTAACTTCTCAACCATTCTATTCTAATTTTTCCTTCCTTTCTCAAATCAAAAAATTTTTTAAAATTTCTCTGGAAAGTCCAGAGAAGAATTTCTCTGAACCAAATTTCTCTATGATATGAATTTTTTCTGGACTAATTTTTTCTGAACCAATTTTCTCTGGACATAAACTTAAGACAAGGGGGAAAAACTGCAAGAGAGAAAGAGTACTAATCAATACCAAACAAAATCATGGGCATTTTGCATGCTAAAAGTAGTAGCAGATCTGAAAATTTTCTGAGAATAATTAGATTTTCCAGAGAAATTTGGACTGAAATTTCTCTGGACCAATTTTCTCTGGACTGAAATTTCTCTGCACCAATTTTCTCTGGATTGAAATTTCTCTGGACCAATTTTCTCTGGACTGAAATTTCTCTGGATCAAGGTTGAGGGACCTTAGACATTATGAAAATATTGTTGATGGACCTTAGACATCATAAAAATATTTGATGTCCTTTATGCTATAAAATCATAATATCAAGGACCTTAAAAAAAAAACCCCTTATTTTTATATAATTTTATTTTTGTGAAATATATAAATACTTTTTAAAATTTCAAAAATATTCTCGTAATATTTATTTTTAATAAATTATTTTCTATATTTAAAAAATCTAGAAAAAAATTTATAAAAATCAAATCAAACAAAACGTTTCGGCAAACATGAGTAACAGTATTGAAAAGATACTCAACAAATTAGTGGTTCAGTCGGCCTATCCATTATATGGGTTAACAATATGGGCCCCTATAGTGACGCAACGAATCTATACCCCCAGTTTTAGATTGGGCTGGGCTTTCCTCAGTTCTTGATTTGGACTGGTGAATGATATTCTAGCCTGTGGCTCTATCAACTTATTTTGATAATTCAAACTATTTATTTTATAAAATTCTTTAAATATATTATTTATAAAATAAATTAAATTAATTTGATAATCGTAATTTTTTTTTTATTTTATAAAGTTTGTCATAAAAAAATAAATGATCTCTTTTCAAAAACACACTTGTTGCCATTATGATTGTATTGCCATTATGATTGTAATTTATTAAGTGAGAGGGTAATTTATGTTTGTACATGGGCGGAACTGGAACCAAATGGGAAATGGACCGAACTATGGACTGTGGTGATGGCTTGCTTAGCCCGGTCATTTATCCTGTCAGTTTTGTAAGAGCTGTCTGCCAGATGACTGGTCTTAGTGTTCTGAATCGAGATATAAAGAGAAGAGAACCGAGCTGTAAAAAGACAAGGCGGAGCCGAGCTAGGTGAGCTCGCAGAAATCTGTCGTAAAACATGGTGGTGTTAGCTCGGTTGTTTTGCTACCAGACCATGGTAGGACCATCTTGCTTGGTTAAGCAGTGAGAAGGGTGTAAAAAGATAGGCATTATCTTTTTTATTCATAAGAGGACTCTACTAAAGAGAGTTAAAGTCCTATTAAGATTGTGTCAGGTGGAATTTATAAAAGTTCATGACAAACCTATATACTGGTATCACAATTTTTACTCTCAACAACACAGAGCTTTTTGTCTATTGTCTATTTGCTGACTTAGGCATCGGAGAGGTATTCGGCACATACCCGCCGGCTAGCTCACGTTTGTGTTTTTAAGAAGTAAAGTGACGACATTTGGAGGTGTGCAAACTTGATCAATAGGATTATATGAGAAGATTATTTCGTGCTCGTACAATTAGCGCCGTCTGTGGGAATTGCACAAAGAACAAAACCTTTTGATCGAGTTTTCCTCTCTAGTTGAAACCAATGGCACACAATGAAGATTTGCTGCAATCTGCTATTGATGGGCAAACCCTTGATGGGGGTGGGAGGCGCGAATGTTTACTTTCTATCCCACCTATGGCAGAATTAGAACCCCAGCGGCAGAACTCCCGGAGGGACACAAGGGAGAGACGGGGCACCAGTCCCCATCGCTTTCAAATTCCTGAAAGACAGAGGCGAAGGTTGGATCCTCAAGTTCTGGAGGATCGCGTGAGGGTACAAGACGAGTTAATAAGGAGGATAACGGCAGACATGGAGACAATGAAGCGCTAGATATAGGAAAAATAAGTGGCAACGGAAGAGAGGCGCAAAGACAACATGCCTTCTTACCACTCGGAAGATCGTGGCAGACACGCCACGCCATCACAAGCAGAAAGTAGGAGCCTTAGAACAGGCGACACTTAATCAAGAACTTCCAGGACTCATTACTCCAGGTCTGAGAAAACGAGGACTGAACGGTCGTATACAGAGGAAAACAGCTATCGGCCCTCACACACGCACCAAACAACATCTAGGCACACGAAGTGGCCTAGGTTAGCGGACCTGCGAACAATGCTCGAGGAGAGGGCCCGATGGAAAGAGGACACCAGGGCTCGCGACC